ATGTGACCTCGACCCGTCGTTTTGTACCCTGCGAACAGCTCCTTCGATCGAAGCGACTGCTAGCAGGGTAGTCGTTTTGTAAAATTTATGCATAGCCGAAACTACAAGTGATGGCCAGTTTTAACGTAAGAATTTAGTGTAAAGAATGAAAGATCGGTGCATGTCTAGGGCTTTCTTGCTGGCTTCATCAACTTATTTGAAGTAGGGAGTATCTATCTACTTAGTTCATATATAGTTCTCTTTATGGTCAAGACTTCAGTAATATGTGGTGGCTCCTAAAAGAGCCGTTTGTTTTTGAAATCAGGAAAGAAGTGTTTAAGCTTTCGCCTTCTTCTCAGTCTTCTTGGGAAGGAGAACAGCCTGGATGTTGGGAAGAACACCACCTTGCGCGATGGTGACGCCGGCGAGCAGTTTGTTCAACTCTTCGTCGTTGCGGACAGCAAGCTGAAGGTGACGGGGAATGATTCTAGTCTTCTTGTTGTCACGAGCAGCGTTGCCCGCCAACTCAAGGATCTCAGCGCTTAAATACTCAAGCACTGCAGCCAAGTAGACTGGAGCACCAGCGCCAACACGCTCAGCATAGTTGCCTTTGCGAAGAAGACGGTGGATACGTCCGACAGGGAACTGAAGTCCTGCTCGGGATGATCGGCTTTTGGACTTGGTGCCCTTTGCCTTTCCTTTACCGCGACCAGACATGTTTTCCAATCAAGAGTTGAGCTCGAATGTGCACGAGTGAATAAACCCTGAGCTAAAAACTTTAGAGGTTATACGCGCGGCAAATTTTGAATAGGATCGAAACGCACCAATCACGCTTTAAAAATTTTAAGTGTTTAATGAAATGTGATGATGTATGCGAGCATATTGACCTTGAAGTAGAGTGACCAATTAAGACTTAAGGATTTCGATCCGCATGTTAATTGATCCCCTAGTGATTTTGTTATAGATACAATCTGTGTTCACCTAGGGCATTCACTTCCATTCTGATCGACAGATATGGCACCCAAAGTTGCAGGAAAGAAAGGCGAAAAGAGAGCTGGAAAGGCAAAGGCTCCATCTGATGGAAAGAAGAAGAGGAGGGGAAAGAGAAAGGAAAGCTATGCCATCTACATCTACAAGGTGTTGAAACAAGTTCACCCTGACACTGGTATCTCCAGCAAAGCCATGGGCATCATGAACTCGTTCGTGAACGACATCTTCGAGCGCATCGCCACCGAAGCTTCCCGCCTTGCCCACTACAACAAAAAATCAACCATCAGTTCTCGCGAGATCCAGACCGCCATAAGGCTGCTTCTGCCCGGTGAACTGGCCAAACACGCTGTCAGTGAAGGAACCAAGGCTGTGACCAAGTACACCAGCAGCAAGTAAACTCACTTTGTGGGTTTACCGCTAAATCAAAACGGCTCTTTTAGGAGCCACCAAATGTCATAAAAATCATGACCAATTTCAATGATATTTCATCCCCTATTTTCAAACTCCTTAAAAAGCCTAGTGATACAGTAGAAGCTCGAACGCGGATAACTCGGGGTCGAATTCCGCTATAACGCGAACTAAATTTCTTTTCCCTTGATCAAAATGTTACTGAAATTTATCACGATAACTCGAACTCTTTGTCGTTTCCCTTCAGGGGTTCTGCTGCATTTATGATTTCGCCGCCAAAGAGAACCGCTCGTTGTTTCTTACGTATATTGATTTTGCAATCAAGTGGAACCTCTTTCTGTCAAGGGGTAGATCCAGCGGCTACGAAGGCTGTTGTTTGAGTGGTTGGGTATATTGGGTATATTGGGTATATTGGGTATTCTGCAATTAAGCCGAAATAAGACATCATGAAAGCTCTCCATTCGGGTGACACGTAGGTTGTGAACTGTCTCTTATTTTCACAATTGATCGAGAGTGTGAGGTAACTTGCTACTAGTTTGTCTGCCACACAGCCGTTTTTAGTGTCCTCAAGCAACGTTGCGTGACGACACTAAAAAGATCTAAAAACGGCTTTGTAGCAGACCAGCTACAACTACCTCTAGTTTTCATGTTTCCATCCTCAGCACCGGGGCATCATTGGCGCGCTCCGATCATTTTTATGATCTTTAGGCGGCAGGGGAGGGGGGTGGGTAACCTCGGGAACATACGCGCGCGGGCATGGGCGTGTGCGTGCGCGTGCATGATGGGGGGATCGAGAAATGAACTTGGTAGATTATCTCTAAAGTTACAAATAACAATGAACATTTTCAAGTTTTGAATTCACCGTGAAAATCAACCCCCTGACAGCATCGCTAAACTCTGCTTAAACATATCGGATAAAATGGCCGAAGAAAATAAATCAGGTCTAATAAATAAAATAAATCTTTTGAGTACACAACTTAATATTCATCAACAGTCAGTTAACTTTAAAAACCCTTCTACTTTCCTATCCAAAGCTGAGAATAATTTGTCAAAACATCTGAAAAACCACCAGCTAAATTTGATAGGAACAAATAAAAAACTAAAATTCTACTCCATCTTTAAAAATGAAACAAATCACTCTGAATTCATCAATCATATCCGGAATCGTGAACATAGGCGCGTAGCTTCCAAATTTAGGATAGGAAATCATCATTTAAAAATAGAAACTGGAAGATTTACAATCCCCAAAACTCTTAAGACCTTAGAATCTGTGATCACGGCAACCAAAATTCGGTTGAAAATGAACTGCACATATTATTTCACTGTGATCAATACAATGATTTGAGAAAGACTCTTTTTATTAAAATCAACGACCGAAATACATTTAACATTTACAAATTACAGTCATATCCATGATAAAGTCTGTTTTCTTTTTAACAATACTGTTTCACATATCAGCAGGCTAGCTGCTGATTTCATCTTTCAAGCATTTGAAAGACGAAAGAAACATAGTTAATTCTACCGTTGCATCATATCTGCATTTCCTTAAACTTAGCTGTTTATTATTGTTATTTTAATCGGTAACACCTGTACAAAATGGTAATACTGAATAAACTTGTTGTTGTTGGATTGCTTTTGTATTTTCGTAGCAGGATCCCCGGGGGAAGACCCACGGGATCTGTAAATACTATAAATATTTATAATATGAAGAAAATTAATTATGGCAAATAGAACTCTTTTGAAATATTGCACCTTTTGACTTGGCAGAGCACACTTCTTTGCCCCCAGGAGAGGGGCGTTAGTAGTTTTTGGTTAAACAATCTTGGTTTTGGGTCACCCACCCCCTCGGGATGGTCGCTGATTAGTGCATAACACTGTACTAGAGTATTTTCTCACAGTGAAGAAGGGTCATAAACCCGAAACGTTTGTGTTTTTCGAAAACATTTGACACTCTTTGATAATTCTCTACCGAGTATCACCTTATTAGCTACAAGTCGTCCTCACGAGTTTCTTAACGAGCGTCGCGGAGCGATCGATCGTTTGAAAGCGCGGAGTAGGCATATTTCTTAGCAGAGGAGGAAACAAAAAAAAAGTAAAATAAAAAACGGAATAGAAAGAAACAAAGAAACAAAGAAAGCGGCAAACACAGCAAGTTTTTCGGACGGGAAAACCCCCGGGCTAGGAAAAAAAACCCCGCAGGGGAAGTCCCCTGCGGGAAAAAACCCAGGCAAGCGAAACCACTTCTGATTCGCTGATGTTGAGATCCAAGATGGCTGACGCTTACATATTTGTTTGTTTTGCGTCTCATCTTTTTTCAGTGCATTGCCAACAGTCATAAACGAACAGCGAGCGAAAACCACCATGGCCAGCCATCCAGAAATCGAAGGAAAGAATCTATTTTCATTTGGTTTGATCACTGATATACAGTACGCCGATCTCGACGACCGGCAGAATTATCACAAAACAAAATGGCGGCGTTATCGAAACGCTTTGAGTTGTTTGCAGAAAGCAGTTGCACACTGGAAAACGGAAGAGCATTTGCCGATGTTTATAATACAGCTCGGCGATATAATCGATGGCTTTAATTCTGCGATAGTTGATGCAGATGATAATAAAAGAAATTTTTCTCGAGAAGCGTTGGAAGCTGTCATGAAAGAATTTTCTCAACTGCCCTCTAAGATGCCTGTTCTACATAACGTTGGAAATCATGAGCTTTATAATTTTTCGCGCGACGAGCTCGAAAGATCTGCCCTTCATCCGGGTAACTCATGCCTTGAGCTAAATGAGAGCTTTCCTGAGAGTGGATATAATAAGAAACCATTTTACTTCTCGTTCACACCACATCCAAAGTTCTCCTTTATCTATCTGGATAGCTATGACATCAGTATTCTTGGTGTGGACGAAAGCTCCCAGCAGTATGAAGATGGTATCAGCCTACTGCGCAAATACAACAAAAATGATGACCTCCACAGCCCTGTTGGCCTTCACGGACTAGAAAAGCGCTTTGTCAAATTCAACGGTTCTCTCAGCAAAGAGCAGTTGTCATGGCTTCACACTGTCCTTACACAAGCAGAAGCAAATAAGCAGAAAGCTGTGATATTTAGCCATGTTCCCTTCAACCCAGAAGTTGGGGATCCAGTCACGCTTTTGTGGAATTATCAGGATGTGCTTGATGTGTTGCAGCAGTTTAATTGCGTCGTCGCCTGCTTTCATGGCCACACCCATGTATGGGACTATGCAGTTGATGACAAAGGCGTCCACTACTGTGTTTTTGATGGTGTAGTAGAAGCCCCTCTGGATTCCAATGCATTTGCCACACTGCATGTTAAAGATGACTCTATTGCCATTGAAGGATTTGGTGTTGTGCCAAGTCGAGTGTTGAAATTTCACAAGTGATGGAATTACATGCTGTGGAACCCAGTTAATATGTTGACCAGCCTGCCATAAGAATTTGGACTCATCAAAGTGGTGGCCTTTTATTAGTCATGAAAGCTAATACTTTTATTTCATGATTGGTTTTTTTTCTCATGTTTATGATAGTAATTTTACAATGCTGACTTTGTAAACAAAATGACTATTTTATGAGTGAACGGTATGAAATCAGTGCACTTTCGGTTTGCTTG